TAAATTGCTTGTTTTACCACTTGTATTTTTCCTAAACTCACACTTAACAATAAGGTAAACATAAGTTCTTGTTTATTATTAATGAAATGACCTATTATACATTTATCATTAGTTTTATTACTTTTTATTATATAAAGTGAATATAGGTTAAATATAATTATAAATTATCTTCATTACTTGTTATATATATAAAGTGAATATAAGTCCAGTATAAGAGTACCAGTAGGTATATAATATATTAGATTATAATTACAGGAAAGTTTCTTCAATACCTATATGAAAGTAATTGACTTTAAAACAACAGTTTTGAACAACAAAATTGATTGTTCTACAAAGCTCAAAGGTTACTAGTGACTCAAGGATATAATTCACTGATGATCTCATAAAAATTATGACTTTATTTTTCAGATTCTTATTAATTTGAAATATCAAATATGTTTAATTGTACAATAACAATGATTATTTAAAATAATACATGAAACGGTTTATAGGTTAATAAAAGTGATAATATTATTCTCATTTAGTGTCCTTGTTTTAAATAATCATTATTACTTGTCTATATAAGTACCTAAAAAATATTGAATAAATAGGTTCTTTTATTACCTTTTTTTCTGGATATTATATTACAGAGAGAACTATTTCAGTTTTTGAATGTTAATCTTTTTACCATAAGCCATTCCTAAATAAATCTTTCCCTCCATATACTTTACACAATATGCATAATAAAATTGTTTTAAGTGTGAACTAATAGGAATTAGGTTCTATTATTTTTATCCTATTACACAAACATACAATTTCCACACTCATAATTACCCTTTTTAATATTACTATTAGTATTAGATGCAATAATGACTGTTTTAAAAAAATAAATTTAACATTAATTCATTGCTTTGATATTAAATATATTTTCTAAAAAAAAAACCTATAATAATTAAATTTATTTTTTAATTTTTCTAATAAAATGTATTGTTTTAATGTATTCTAACTGAATAATACTGTACTAATAAAAAAATAATTTATAAAAAAACTTATTATAACTATATTCAGTGATCAATGTTTCATTAGATAGTACTTTAATATAGGTACCTACTAAATAATAGGTATATATAACTTCTTATTAAATTTGTTTTTCTCATTTCTTCACAGTATATGTACGTGTATTCTGTATAAATATACAAATGAGTAGGTAAGGCCTCACTATAAATATAAATGTGTATATAATATGTAAAAGAAATATAGTACAATACATTTGTTAACAATTATTATTCGTTGTTATTTATTACATTGCTCTGTTATCAAACCACTGTTATTTTAGCTTCCTCTAAGTAAGTATATACAAAATTAACAGGCACCTACATATTATAATATAATAGTATACAAATTTGAAGTTTCACAACTGTATGTAAGTAGGTATATATTTATATTTAGACATTCACCAAACCCTTTCATAAATTTAATGTGTTGCACAATTTATTTATGTGTTTAAAGTTCATGTATAAAATATATAGATATATATTTTTATAGATATATTATAATAAAGAGTAATAATGTATAAAAAAAACGGTTTATTTAAGTGACAATATTTTCACTTATCTTATTTATCTACAACAGTTAAACAAATAATAGGTATAGATAAGATCTTCTTTCATGTATGTGTATAATCATTATATGTATATACAAAATACAGTACAATACATTATAACATTATCTATTACTTACTATTAAGTAAGTATATATTATATTATACACGTGTTGTAGTCAACGTGGAACGTTTTTTTTTTTACTTGTACATTTTAGTTTCAAATTATTTTGTTTGTTAACTGTTAATTGTATTTGTGATTTTCGTCACGGACAACGATCAATTTCCATCACAAGTAGAAAAAAAAACCGCCAGGAAAATGTATATATAATAAATATATAATATTCCAAATTAAAAAATAATTTACTTCATAAAAAATATTGGTATAGTAATATTAATGTAGTAACTAACAATACTATTATTTCAGTTAATCAGCAGTGCTCAAAAACAAATGATCGTAAATTTGTAGAAGTCAAAAAAGTCTGAGGTGCCTAATATCAAATATAAGGATTTGATGGAGTTATCTAAAAATCTGAGAATTGGAATAAATCGTGTTCGTATAACGATATCCGAATACAAAAACAATACATTGTTGACATCGCCAAACCGTAAAAGAAATCGCCAAGGAATCTGTGATAAAGTGGATGAATTTGACAAAAATGCACTTCGCCGTAAAATACATCAATTTTGGTTCAATAAAGAAATGCTGACGATCTCTAAAATATTGGCTGTCAATGATGACGACTCATTACCGAATTTCAAACTCGAGTCTTTACGAAAAATACTCAAGAGTTTGAGTTTCAAATTTTGTAAAAGGAATAGGAATAGCATTCTTAATGAAAAGAACAGACCTTATTACATGGCGTCGAAATTATTTGATATCAGTCAAAAAATTTAGAGAATAAGGAAGGACAGTTTACTATTTAGATGAAACCTGACTGAACACTGGCGATTGTGTTGGTAAGGTATGGGTCAACGAAACCGTTAAGTCTCACAGACAAGCCTTCCTGGAAGGACTATCAACGGACCCTCCAAATCCTACGAATAAAGAAAAAAGTTAATTATACTGCATATCGGTTCAGACAACGGTTTTGTATCAGGTGATCTCGTGTGCTTCAAATCCAAAAAGAACACAAGTGATTACCATAATGAAATGAACAGTAAAACTTTTCAAGATTGGTTCGAAGAAGTGCTGCCACCACTTGAAAATAATGCCGTTATTGTAATGGATAACGCACTCTACCATTCAGTAAAATTCGAGAAAGTACCAGCGTAGAAAAAGCAATCAGTCGTCAATTGGTTTATATCAAAAGGCGAAGATATCGATCCTTCGAACATAGCAAAAGTAGACTTAATGCAAATTGTTAAATGTCTTAAGCCAAGGTAATATATTTAAAAAAAATTTTAATATAAAGAAAAAAAATATCATAAATGCTTATAAAAGAAAGTTTCAAACTATTTTGACTATTTTTAGACATTAAACATTTTTACATATTAATATTTTCAAATTTAGGTTTTCAATGCACATGTTTTAAGTCAGTAATTAGTTAAATCGGAGCAATAATGAATGAGATACAAAAAGTATAATTTAAAAATTGTAGTGAAGAAGTATTAGAATTCAAAACTTAAAAATTACGATATAAAATATAATAATAAAGTTACAATAAAAAAAATGTTACCACATTCACAAGATTTTTTTTAAAAGCATTTGAATATCAAATTAAAATATTTATAAAATATACACATATTTAAAATCCATTAATTCAATTTTTTATAGAATGTTGACATTTTTATTTTACATAGTTATAGGTACCTAAAATAAATTGGAATTTGTCATTGACGAAATGGCTAAAAAGGTTAATAAAACTATTCTCAGGCTACCTCCTTACCACTGCAAGTTGAACCCCATTGAAATGGTTTGGTCAATGGTAAAAGGCTATGTTAAAGCTAACAATACAACTTTCAAACCAGAGGAGGTGTTTCAAATACCTGTTGCATAAAGGTTTGGACAGAGTCCAAAGTGAAGATTGGAAATCGCTTATTGATCATGTCAAGAAGGAGGAAGAGAAGTTTTGGAATTTAGATTTTATTTTTGATGAGCTCGTTGACAACCTTGTAGCTAATCCCGATCATATACTGACAATTGAGAACTCTGAATCCTCTGAATTATTATGATGACAATTTTTAATTAATTTGTACATATACGCCAAGTAGGACTTATATATTGTTATATTAATTAAACCTACATGTGAATAAACTATTAAACAGTAAATAATATTATTTTAAATGTGTATAATTTTTAAAATTATTTTTAGTACACAATATTTTATTCGTAATTGTACGAGTATTTATTAATATAATTGGTAACTGTTTATTCTTGTTTTATTAAAACTATTTTGTTTTATTTTTATTATAAAATAAATATATATTATGGTAATTTAATACAATTCCAACATTACTATTTGTTTACTTTAAAAGAAATTAATAATATAATGTAAACTACGCACACGGTGTATATAATTAAATAATTAGCACACACTCTATAATTAATGTTTGTTTTGAGGAGGAGTTGAAATAGTCTTATCTGACCTGTGTGAGTGGTCAGAGTATAGTTATGGTAGAATTGTTTGGCAATTCAATTTCACAACCTTCAGACTTCGTCACACAAAAATCTAATAACAATTTGTTGTATATAAATTAAGAATAGATCACAATGGGGTTCATGTGACAAATATGATTTGCCATATAGGACATTGACTAAACAAGATTCAAGAATCAATCCTCCTGGCAGTAGAAATGTCTTACCATTAAGATGGTCATTAACATGTAAAAAAATTAAAACATTAATTTAAGTAAATCAGTAAATAATCATATAATAATATGGTCACAAAAATGATTCAGCAAGCTACATATAATGTCTAATACACAATCTAATCAATAATAATTGTTTTTATATAGTAAAATTAAAAATAAACAAAATTTAATTTTGTAAATAGATAGTAAATACTAATAGTAACACAAAAACAATAATTATAATATTATAATTAAAATTATTAATAATTTTATTTTCTATTAAATCAACTATATATTTTTAAATATATATACGAGAATGTCCAAACTGGATGATTATAAATTATTCTGTATTATTATTGTTATTTAATTATTGAAACCAAACATAAAGTATAATCAATATTTGTTCTAATTATTAATTATAACTACATTTTAATGCAATAAAATAATTATTTTGTATAAGAAAGTTTTTATGAAGAAAGTAGTATAATTATTCTAATTCATATTAAAATAGTCAGTTTCACAATTATTTAATAAACATTTAAGTAAACCACTTAAAATAAATTTAATAAGTAGGGAATAAAAATCCATTGTGCCAATAATTAAATTAAATATTAATGAGAAATATATTATAATCATATAATTTAACACTAATTATTTGGTTCATATTTTATCTTAATAATATTATAATCAAATATTTCACTAGAGTATTTTAATAATGAGTTAATGAGTAGGTAAATCTCCATCGTTCATAGTAGTAGGTGGCTGTTTGGGAACCATGCAAGACCGAGCAACTGATTCAAAAAGTCTAAAAATAGTACATAGTATTATGAATTATGATTTTTTTTTCTCTTCATAATCATAACTATAAAATAATGAATACTATTTTGATTACAACTAATGACAATTACTTACTTTTCAATTTCTGGTGCACAGTGAACAAATTCATGAGTCCAAAATTTATAAGCTGGGTTTTTAATTAACTCAATAAATGTTATTAATAATCCCCAAGGATGTGGTCGGTTTACTATCAATCTTTCCAACAGAACTCTATAAATATATTAATTCATGGAAGAAATATAAATTAATACATTATATTATAACAAATTATAAGTAAATTAGCCTTAACATTGGCATTATAATATGCATATAGACATAAATTTAAAAGTTATATGAGGATAGGGCATACAGTCCATATAATAAAAAATTTATTATATTTTAGAATCTATAATAATGCCAATCAGATATGGAGAATATCAAACAATAAATGGGTCATAGAATTTCATTCAAAACATTAAAGTTAGCTCAAGAATTGGATTCAATCTATAATGAATACTATTTGCTCAGATCTCAATCCAAGTTAACTATAAAATATCTATGATACTTTGTTGATAAATCAACAAATATGTACTATAACCAGTCAGGTATGAAGGCTATATAATTATTTAATTATTATAATATTAATTATATTTGGATATATGATTGTTTAAATCAATAAAAACATAAATTATCATGTTTGTAATTTGTGAATAAGAAATTGTAGAAGTTTTCACATGCAACTATACTGTTCAACCTATACCTAAAATAATTTTTAAATCTATGCTACTATACACAATACTTAGAAGTAAAATATAAATTAAATACAAGGTTGAATGTATAAAATGCCCAAATGATTAAAGAATATTAATTTAATATTTTGAAATAACTTTTTAATTACCTTGTTATCTGTTCTTGAATAATTTCACTATTAGCTTCAGCAAATAAATACAAAAGTGTACAACTAAAATAATGTGTATGACTATTAGGATACCGCAACTGATTTGCAATCGAATTCAAAAACAAATAACGACCTAAATAATTTAAAATCTGATGATTAATTTGATAATTACACTAAATAGAGCCCAGAGGTGTATTTGACAACTTTAATTTCAATTCATAATTAGTACTATTATTTTTAATTTATATTAGTATTAATAAGAATTTAGTAAAATAATTATTTCTTTATTTAATCATTATTATGTTCACATGTTTATTTGTTATTAATAACACATCAACAGATGGACTATAAGAATATTTTATTAATCTATTTAATATTAATATATATTTTTAAGATAATATTAATGCAAATCTGGCTATCAACCTCTAAGCACTAATAATAAATAAGTGAAGATATATTTTATAAATGTAACCTTCTGTGTCAAGATCAACAGATAAATTTTGAAATATATCCATATGAGCGGAATGTGTAATAGTTGAAATATTTGGTACTAAGCCTTTGGTTCGTATTAGCTGTATAGCTTGTGTTCCAACATACAAAACAATAGCGTTCAAAAGAGATACATTGTACCGCATGCCTGGTTCACAACAACTCTGTTGCATTGTAGTACGCATCTCAGATAAAAACGTTACTGGTGATCGAGTTTTTAAATACAAATCTAAATCCTATATAAAAATCAAAATTAAATATTTTATAAATTTATTTCATTTAAATAATATAAAATATAATTACTTTTTTAAAATTAACAGGCTGAATAAAACTCTGATAGTCTGGACAAATTTTTGGTGCCATAGATATTTCTTGAAGAACATCCACTTTTAAATTTGGTGTAAATGGATCTGGAAGACGCATATTACGTGGAAAAGCTGATAATATTAAATTCCTCATCTATAATATATAGAAACAAACATTTTAATTATGAACTTCAGGTATTTATTTAAAAGAACAATATATTTGGATTATAATTAATAATAACTAACTTGAATGCAATTAGGAGGTATTACATCACAAAATCCATAATGATACTCGCACAAAAATTCAGGGAAGTCGTGTAGCAAAATTAGTAAGACTCTTAAAGTTCCTTTGTATAATATATGAACGGGTTTAGCAAGTTCAGCATTACGTAAAAATGGAGCTAAATATTTGAATAGGTCAACAAGCAGTTGAGCATAGTAATTCCAAGCCTGAAGATCATTAGCAGGTGTTTGATCATAAGAACGCTATTTATAATAAAAAAATATTACTTTAAATTAAATAATACATAATATACAAGGGATTGCCTAATTTAGTAATAGTAATGATTTTTTACAATAATTATAAATATACATTTCTTCATAATAATTCATAATTTTGTCAATTCACCTTTTGTTGAGCATTTGCTCCTAGAAGTCGACCAATAAATATACGATGAGATATGAGCTCTAACCATGCATATGTGAAACCTGGAACTTTTCTTGGTCGAAGGAGATGAAAAGTATGACAAAAAACAGTAAGTATCTAAAAATTAATATAAATATTAATCATGTTTTTAATTACAATAATTATTTTAAAACATACAGAGTAATTGATTGACTCTAATACTGGGTCAGGAGCATTTAAGTCAAGGAAAAGAGTAATTAAAATTCTATGATATGGTAACTGATGGAAATCTGTGGTTTGTATATCATGATCTTGAAGTAGGACACCCACAATAATTCCTAGTACCTATAAATTAGTAAAATTATAAAAATACACTGTAAAGAATTAAATTACCTATAAAACAATTACCTTATTTAAAAGGTTGGTTTTTGTGGTTAGAGCATTTGTATCACCGGAATGTTTTATTAATAATACTATGAGTTTCACATAGGCATCAATTGTATGAAATAATTTTGATCGAATAGCAGAAGGTGATTCAGTTTGATCAGGGTTTTGCCTATACCATAACTCTACCATCATCTGTGTACTAATGCGGAAAAAGCGAGTTATAATATCATCAGATTTCAAAATTCCTTGAACATTCATCTATACACATAAATACAAAACTATTATTTTAAAATTACTCAATTTATAATAATAAAGTGTAACATACTTGTTGAATAAATGCATTAAATGTTTTGTTAGGATCTTTATTGGGTGTTACATTATAAATAGTCAACCATTCTTTAAGTAAGAATTCAGTTTTTTCTAATAACCCTGGTGGGTCATCAAAGTCCCTACTCTAAAATGAAAAATGAACATGCTATTATTATTATTCAAGCTACTAGTCACATTATTATATGAAGTGAAATTAAAACATAACTAGTAATCATTATCTTTAAAAAAAGTTAATATGTAATATAAAAATCAAAACTTACCTGTAATAGACTATATTGAGTATTATTAGTGGCTGTATTATTATTAGCACCTATTCGATTTACAGGATTAGTTGTTCCATGTGCTGGTCTAACCATTTCTAAAATGGCTGCTAATCTATAATGCAAATATATAAATAAATTAAAACACATCATAATACTTGAAAAAATGATTTAAGTACTTTTATGTCTAACTAGTTATAATGTATAATAATTGTAATACTTTTATATTATAAATAATGTGAATTCATAATTTACTTTTTAGTTTTTACAGACTCCAAACATGAGATATTAGTGTTTTATCATTTTCAAAATTTAGGAACCATCATGTTTTATGTATACACAGAATGGTTCACTAAGTGTGCCCACCCCATTTTTTTGGTTAAAATTTGCATACATTTATTTAAATTTTGATTTTTGGATTTTTTTACAACATCTATGGAATATCTTGTGATGATACCAATTTTGGTTTTTAAAATGAGAACATATATTAAAATTTCCATAAATAGATAAATTATAACTTTAAATAAATTTTTGTGTTAAAATTTTTGATTTCTGACAACCCACTGACAAGATATTTTACTTTTAAGTTTAGGTAGAGGCAGAGTAGTGAAGTATTATTTCTGTGGCAGAACAGAGTGGTGTGTTTTAATGTTTTAATAGTACTCACTACTCTCCCCCTACCTAAATTTAAAAGTGGAATGTCGTTAATGGGTTGACTGAAATCAAAAATTTTAACACTAAGATTTATTTAAAATAATACTCTGTCTATTTATGGCATTTTTAATATAGAAAAATTTGAAAAATCAAAGTTGGTATCACTATAGGATATTTCTTAAATACTGTGAAAAATATAAGTATTCTGAAATATCTGCTTTAACTACAATTAAAAGTTCCAAATATTAGAATTTGAATAAGAGTAAAATGTAACTAAAAAATTGGATGAGCATGCTTAGTGAATCACCCTTTATATATTTTTTACCCTACTTTTAAGATTATATGGTCTATATTAGTCAAATTCATAAAATTTGTTAATATAATGCATCAGAAATCAATAAATCATTAAACCCACAAAGTATATTACTCATAATAGGAGATAAAATTATAGTCAGTAATCAAAATATTTATACATATAATAGTGCACCAAGAAAATTGCAACAACCCACATGAAATCAAAATGAAACTATTTTTATTGATTAGTTTTTTAATTAAAATATAAATAAAATTACATTATTATCAGTATTTTGCCTTTAAGTTATCAACCTAAATAGCAATTTAGGTATAAATCCTTGTTCAAAAATAAAATTGATAAGTAATACATATATATTTGCAACAATAGAATATAAATTGAATAGTTACCCATCTGGAATAGGGCGGCCACTGATCATGATTGTATTTAATGTATCAAGAGTAGTTTGAAAATTGAGTTCAGTAAGTGGTGAATTTGATCGATTATCTATCAAATAATGTTGTAGAACTTGTTTTACAAATGACATGGTTACATAATTAGTCCCATTATCCATTGACATAGCTAAGTGCATGTCATATATACCAATATTTATCATTCCAGCACGGATTAATGTATCAATCGCATCAAGATTGAACTGTAAGTCTTCTCTACATTCCACAAGCGCTCTTAAAAACAATAATAAATTATATATTACTTTTTCTCCAAAAATTAATTATTTAAAATACTTGGTTAATGTCTTATTTGTCCATTGTAAGCTGTATGCCCGAGGATCTTGGAAAGCTCTTATTATATTGAGATGTATATCACGAAATCTAATAGTCATGTCCAAATCTTGGTTAGCTGGTGGGCTAAGTCCTTCTAGATAATTTTCTGTGATCTAAAAATAATGTTAAATAATTAATTAATATACAGTCTAACTTAGTGTTTCTTAAACTGTGTTCTGCGGAATAACTTGTAGGGGCTGGGGAGTTATAGGAAGGTTTGGAAAAAGTTAACTAAAATTCTACAACTATTTAAAAAGAACAGTAATGAAAAACAGCTAAATCACCAATGACATAAATTCATATGCGATGCTGCAGTTAGCTATGCAGTGCAGTGAGTTTGGCTATTTTTAGTGAATATTATTATTTCTCCCTGAGAATGTCACAAATCCCCCCTCCTGTTGCCCCACATGTGTGTCAGTATAAGTATTTATTAAATGTATTATAATATTACCACTGATATGAGTAAACAAAATAAAAAAACATTTTTATATTTTAGGGGTTCGACATTAAAATATTATTGTTTAGTGTTCATAATTTCGAAAAGTTTAAGAAACATAAGTCTAGCATGTATTGGTATTGTTTCAATAAAATAATATTATATTAGAATCTACTTACTTTATTGATAACATTTGTTACAATAACAATATCACGTGATCTTCTTAAAGATAACATTGCTTCTAATGAGCTATGAAGGTTTGACACTTGAGTTGTATTTGACATAAGTCTTTGGTTGTTCATGTATAATTGTAGAAGTACTTCAATTTCATTTATAAGTTTTTCATAAATAGCTGACATTTCGTCAATTTGGATTCCCTTATTTAATACATTAACAAATGTTAATTATTTACACAAATTAATTTTATAATTAATATTAATAAAATAATGATATTAAATTACAGTTTTAGGCATAAATAATGAGGCTGATTCCCGATCTAGTGGTTGAAATCCTGGTATATTCCTAGCAAATTCTTCATAAACTCCAATCATTTGAGGTAATGGCAATCCAACTTTATTACGAAGAGTATCAGGTAAATATTCAGCTTGGCTACTCATTATCATTGGGTCATAAAACCGACGACCTTCCATTCTTGAAAGATTGCGCCTTTCAAATTCCTATACAAATTATTTATATAAAATGATAACAAAGTGTGTTGTTTAAAATTCAAAAATAAAAATTCTTACATTTTTTAAATATTTATCAACTTCAATGATTGCTTTTTCAGTAGCAATTTTTTGTACAACAGCACAAGCTAATTCTACATTATCATTTGCACACATTGTACAGGCCTGATCAACCATTTCTTTTTGCACTTGTGTTGGTGTCTAAATAATACATAAATTATCAATTAAATTTGTTTAGAATAATTATTATTTTCATACATACAATTAAAATGCTCAGAAAATGTTGTTTTAAGTTCGATGATAAAACTTGCACAACCTGCTCTCTACAAGTTATCATTGCTAAACCAGAAGTTAGATTTCTCACCATGCAATGTGCAGCTTTTCGCATGTGGGATTCATCTGGATCCATACCAAAATCCTAAAAATTAATATCATAATAAAATATTGTTCATATTGTAATATTACAAATTATTTTTCAAACTTTTTTAGCAATATGTTCCACTGTAGTGGCTGCAATCTTAATTGATTTATCCACAACAGGATTAAGCCATTCTTGAATTGATCTTTCAATGGCAGCTCGTACATAAGTCTTAAGAGCTGGTTGACTAACAAATAATGGAATCTAAACAATAAAACTCTATGCAATCAGTATAATAAACACAGCATTTTGGATATATTATATATTTTGTTTTATTGTGATTCTTCGGATGTATTATTTAGACTTGTACTAAACTTGTTTTTTTTTTTTTAAGTTAAGATATCTCTTATTTGAATTGATACATTTCTTTGTAGAATGGTTAATTTAAAAATTAAATTTGTATTTTTATAAAATAACCACCCTTTTGCTAACTATATAATTGTATTTAATAAAACTACTACTTTAACTCAATAAAAATCAAATTTTCAATAATCTAAACAAATCTATTAATTAGTAAATAAATTAATAAAATATAAATGTATAAAAAGGTTATAAGATACTTACTTGAGGATTAATGACAACCATAGACATTAATTGTGATGAATTGGTTGTATTCAGTGTTACATAGTTAAATTTAGTCTCAAACAAATTTGGAGTAGGTGACATTCCACCAGTTATATTATTTATACTTTCAGAAGGTGTCAGTGAATGAAGACCACCAATTGCAACTTGGCTCACCAACTCATTAAACCGTGCATTTGAATTAATTGAAGACATCATGTTCTGTTGTTGTTCTTGTGGAGAAATAATTGCTAACAAATAAAATATATAACATGAATAAAATTAAGAAATATATATATATATATTATATATACAGGATATCTTGCAATATCTGATGAGATAATCATTTTTTTATTATTTATATATAAAATACTCTAAAATACTAGGAATAAGGACTATAAATATTTATATTTTAATTTGATTTTTATGTTTGGAAGTATCAAGTACAACATTTTTTCTTAAAGGGAATTTTCCAGAGATGGTCCTTTAGGGAGGTCATTTTTTGATTTTTCTAGTTTTCCCAATAATTAGGAAAAACATGGTGAAAATCGGTAAAATAAATACAATATTAAACAAATATTATTAAAGAAAATATATAATGCCTACGTAATTATTTTGCCATAATGTGATATATATTTATATATACATTGTTGTTATTGTATTAAAGCAACACAATGAATCGAACTCTGCTCAGAATCCTTCAGTCTTTTTTTTTTCGACTTTAAAAAATTATTAAAAATCACAAATTTAATGAAAATAAAAAGTTGAGCATTCAAAATGTTCTTCTAATCTTTCAAAAATAATAAAATAAAGTTATTTTTATTACCAAAATCTAAAAAAAAAATAATAATATTTACAATAAATATTTGTAGTTTCACTGTAATAAAAAAAAAAAAAAAAAATCAAAATTTAAATATCTACTATTTCTGGAGATATTACAATGGGTATATATTTGTAAGAAACCCTGCATATATATAAATAAATGTATGAAATACTAAAGTAGCCCTTGCATCCTAAATAAAAAACTTATTATTAGGGATAGAAATTATATCCAATAAAAAATGATTAAATAAACTTAAAAATATGTACTAAAATTTATAAAATTTTATAACACAGTGTAATAGTGTTTTTACAGTAATAAGTAGCTAAAAAATATACTGATACATTCAAATCCTTGTTATCTATCATTTCTATAAAATAAACAAAATAAGTATTATGTTAATAAATACAAATTTAATACTTTGAAAAATAGGTGTATGTTGGTTCAATGAAGTTGGAACAGACATTTTAGGCTGTTCTGGAATGCTTAGGGTTTGGGGTTTTAAATTATCTTCATTACAAAGCTGTTTTTTCAATTTTTTTGCTATCTCAGGATTTTTAAGAACATATCCAGGTTTAAGGTCCTGTAATAAATACAAATACAAAATTAAAAACTTAAATCACTTATAGATCGATTAATAGTTAGCACTATTTAAATTACTTGTATTTCAAGGTTTAATGTTTTACATAACACTTCAACTTCAAATTTTAAAGTTAATTTTAAATCAGGTTCTTGATGGAGTTCAGCCAAACAGTTCATTACAGACATTGTCCAAGGATTTCTGGGTTTAAATACCTTATATAACCATAATATTTTTTAGTAATAAATATTATTTAATATAATTGTTTATAATAAATACATACTTTACTCTTAGCACAAGATTCAAGAATTTTAGCAATAAAAGGTACTATGAATAATAACTCTTGATGTCCATTATTATATGCTTCAACCAGTAACATTTTTAAATCAATACTATCAAGCAGTAATGGTTTATTTTTAGCTAATGTTATCATACCAAGCCAATGACCTAAATTTTTTAACAATGATCTGTCAGAAAAATTGTCCATACCTTTATCACTTTTCAATAAAATCTAAAAAATAAATTGACAACCTTTTTAATATTATATAAACAAAGTATATACTAATTTTATTGTTACTAACTTTGATATTTCTGAAAGTTTCCATAATTATCAGTGAATTCAATTTATCATTACTTAAACAATCCAAGAAATTAGAGTATAATGTATGGAAGTTAAACTCAATGCTAACTCGTTTCATAACCATATACTGAGATAGCCATGGTAAATAATTATGAATAATGATTTCTCTAATTTCATCACACTATAATATATAATATTGAAGTTTAATTATATTTGTGTACTGTTTAAATTGTTTATTTATTTTTATATTAAATTTGAATGTTCTTATTTCACCTTGGTTTGCAAATTAACTTGACTTAGATTATTAAAAATAAAAGCAACTTTATCTTGAAGATTTTCTGGTGGTATGATCAACTTATCGTCTTTTTCAGTAGCTACTAATAGTGTATCAATATTTGTAGTATTTGCAATTGAAGGCTAAAAACATAATAAAACAAACAATTAAAATATACAATTATGTAGCTATGTGGAAGACACTTATATATATTTACTCTAAATGGTACCAAAGTGTTGGTAGTTATAAGTTTCGATGATGTAGAGACAGATGTTGTTGTTATAGATGGATTTATATTTTGATTTTTAAATATGTTATGTAAACTTGATATAAATGTTCCTGATGCAGCAGTATTATTATTAATTCCAATCAAATCTGGGATTCGAGAAATAGGCGGTTCTTGAGAAAGTTTTCCATACTCAACATACTAATTAAATACAAATTATTGAAATTAATTAAACAAAATCAACAATGTAAATGTAGTTCGTAGCAAATTAAAGACAACATTTCATGAGTACAAGTACCATTTTGATATAATTCATAAATTCTTAAAAAATAGACTAATAACATTTAGTTATGTTATTTCTAGTGAGAATTTGATAAATCTATTCATGAGTTTCAAATTAGTTTAATATGAAGTACATTATATGAGGCCTGACCAATAAGTAATAAGACTAAGCCCATAAAATACATATATTTAAAAATTAAGGTACATTGATGTGATCCCCTTCAAAGTACTTCCCTCTCACAGCTATACACTGGTTTGGATGTCAGTTATGGACTCAAAATACTTCCTATCACAATCAATTTTATTTAGGGGAACAAGAAATCACAGGCTGACAGATCCCACAAATTGGGCCCTTGTGGCAACACTGAGATGTTTTTAGAGGCTATACACTGAAGACATGATGGCATGGAGCATTGCAAAGATGAAGGATCCGTTTTTGCCAGTCCCTGGATGGACTCTTATGGCTCATTATTGCAGCTGATTGAGTATTTTCAGGTAGAAATGTTGGTTGATAATCTGCTCAAATGGTACAAACTCTATGTGTACAATCCCTTTACTGTCAAAGAAACAAACCATCATTTTCAATTTTGTCTTCATGGTTCATCCTCAATACTCTCACGATTATTTTTAAAATTTTTATCCCATTGAAAAACCTAAGCATGACTCAGGACTTCATCACTGTACACTGTGACCAATTTACCTTAACAGTTTAACACAAAATTTAATTTTTGACATGCCTAACAAACACGTTATTGGCTAGACTTGGTAAATCTGCTAGTTATTGTCATTATATTTTTCTTCCTACTATTCTAAGAAAAATATTGAGTTGGAGGTAAATAGCCTCAAATTTAAATTGTCCTGTAATCTCAATTAATATTATATGCATGATAAGTTCTCACTTCTTATCAGACTGTTATCAATAATAATTAGATTGTTTAGATCCAAACAATTTAATTGTACAATTCAAAACACACATGATATATTTCTGAACACTCATATTATATTAAAATATGAGTATTACATACTCTTATTTCCCATACACAAGCAATATTATTGTCAATATTAAATATTGATTGTGTATGGGCTGCTTAAGATTTGACTATTATTGAATAAGAGATACTCAAATGAGATTTTTTTAAATAAACTAATATGTAACTGTATTAAACTAAAGTTATAGATTTCTATTAAAAATTTAACACAAATATTCATTTATAAAAATAGTTTTTGGAATTTCCCAAATGTTTTAGAAACTATCACAAAAATTAAAAACATTTACATAATTTGATGATAATAAAACTCAATTTATACACAAATTAATTAAATGAAATAGGGCAACACATAAATTTTGTTAGAAAGAATATAACAATGTTTATAATATTTAATTATTAAAATTCCGTTTTAACATACCTCAATAAGGTGTTGAGGAAACTGCGGAAAATGAGGAATGGAAGTTATATGTGAACAATATTGATGATAATCCTTTAAACGACATTTGAACCGATCTAATGCAGTTATTCCAAAGTTATACATCTTTGTATTAGGGTTCTTCTTAAGAGCATCAAAAATAAAGCGAAGTGCCAGTCCTAAAGCTTTATAATTTCTATAAAATATAAAAATTATTTGATAATTAATTATTTATGATACAAAAAAAATATCAAAAAATTTAAATGACTTACGAAACAAGATTGTGTTCTATAATACCACCAAATAGATGAGCTGTTGTAATAAGTTCTTTTTCTGGATAAGCTGGAAAAAATCTATATTCCTCAAACAAATTTCTAAGCATGCAACAAAATACTTCCTGTAATAAAAAAAATATTTTTAGTTTTAATTAAAATAAAATATATTAAATCATAAACCAATAGATGGAATAATATTTACTTTTTCACGTTTAATAGGAGATTCTTGAAATCTTTTTAAGGTTTCAAGTATTTCATCAATCGATAAAGAATTATGAGGAGCTAAATTGTAAATACGCTGAAAATAACTATTAGCTTCATCTTCGATATCTTTGGGAACAGTAACTGGCATATTACCATCCATAAATAAACTGTTATCAACTATAAAAATAAATGTTTTTGAAATTATTAATGTTAAACAAACTAATGGCAAGCAAATTTTACAATTTATATTTGTATTTTATAGACAATGTTACAAATGTAGACAATTAATAATAATTATTTAATTTAAATATATTACTTAGTTGATTAGATTTCCCAATTACTGAAGGTAAAACTTGTTGAGGAGGTAAACAATTTAACATATTAGATGCACCAGACAATGGATTAGTTATATTTGCATAATTTTGACCAAGAGTATTTATAGTAGGTGTCATGATGGAGAAGCCTCCAAGTCCAGATGCATTACCCACAAGATTTTGAGATGGTGATCCAGGAGCTTGAATAAGTTGTCCCAAAGATCCTAAAAATAAATAGTATAACATTTTTAATTGTAATTTCATTGATTTTATAGTTTTTACCTGGTAGAGTAAATATTGAGTTAGTTTGAGTAGTAGGATTTATTCCAAAGTTAGCTAGACTTGTAGCTAAACCAGCAAGTTGATCAACCATAACTTGTAATGCAGGCCCTTCAATTGGTCTAGGTTGTTGCACAGGACGAAAAATTGGTGGTAAAGGTGGAAGGACCATAGGATTAACACGGGCAGGTGTTCCTTTAGGCATATATAAATTTGTGTAAGCTGATATCATTTGAATAATAGTTTCTGAAAGTTCTGGTGAAACTGTTCTGTAATTAATAATTAATAAAGGTACAGAAAAAGATGTTTAAAATAGTACATTTTTTATGTTTTTTTTTTTTTTTTTTAATGTATAAACAATTTTTCTACTAGAAAGCTTACTCTGATTATAAAGTATAGCACATTTTCTAGATGGCACTTTAGAGAGGTCATTTTTTGAAATGTTCATTAATATTCGAATAGATAATGAGGAAAACTCGGTTAGGTTAGGTTAAAAAAAGATTGAAAGATTAAAATAAGGTTACCATTGGCAACCGGTTTTATTTATTTTTTGTTATTATTTAATATTTTAATCTTTTTTAAACAATCATTGTTGTAATCATTTTACCATAATATGATACAGATATATTGTTGACAAAGCAACAGCTATGCTCAGAATAATTTTGTTTATTAGCAATGGTTTATCATTGACTACAGATTAAATTCCGTCTGTATCCTACTTCCCACCTACAACAGTGGATCACGTGTCAAGTATATCCCTTCATATTTTACTAATTTTAGTAATAAAATATTTTCAATCGGATTGCACAGCACAAATAATTTTTAATCAAATAAATACTTGGATTATTGCAGATTAAGTTTAGCTTCAGACTATCCAGCTATTTTTAAAAAAACTACATATATTTCTACTTTTATCTATGTTATATTTTAATATCTGGTGAACAGAAATGTCTGCATTAAATAATACTAAAAAGGTGCTTCCTAAAATAACCAACTCCTGGGACCAAGGCCACCAAATGTTATCATTGTATCTGTTAATAATAAAATTAATATTATAGATAATAAATAAAATTCACTTACCCAGTAACATTGCGTAGGCTATTCAGCAATATTAGGACAGTTTCTGATGATAAATGAGTATATTTTGAGAGATTTTCTTCTTTAGTTGAAGATCCATTTAATTGAGGGTATCTTTTCTATAAATTTAGCAATTTATTTATATTAATAACTATAAAATGCCTATGTACATTCACTTAGTTTACATACTTAAATATATATGTTACAGGCAAAGTAGGAAATCCGGGCATTGTGATACCCGAATAATTTTGGAAATTTGTTTAATACTCCAATTTTGACTAAATTAGCTGGCATTGTACAAGAGTGCTCAGTCACTGTGTACAATGCCTAGAATCAAGTGGACACATTTATATCAAATGAAATATATATGTAACATTTACCTATACCTACATACTTATTTAATTCGTTTTATATAATGACTTGAAATACCTATTTAATTTAGGAACAAATATAAATACTGGATACAATATACTAAATATAGTATATTGGAGCAAATGCACCCGTGTATATTTTGTACACCAATAATAAGTTATCGAATTTGTATTGTTATTCATTTTATTCAGTATTTTCGAAGTCTCAAGTTTGTCATTATAATGACTATGGTTGATTATAGCGATGAGTAGTGACACAACACATGTGCAGGATACTGAGATATAAACAATATGGAGTATGAATTGAATTTGAAACATAAAAATATCTACTAGATAAGAGATAGGTATATATGTATACACATACATATATATTTAATGGGTGAGATAAAAATAGTTAATTACGATAATGATTGCATTTTGTTTTTGAAGTCAGTCAGTTATTGTTATATATTGAACGACTGTTCGCGTTTTTAGACTCTTTGTGTGTGCAAATATTTTAAGTTTAAAAACAATGAGTGAAAAACGAAAGCATGTTGTACTTTATTTATCTCAAAAATTGGATATTATTAAGCCTTTACGAAGGGGAGAAAGTGCAGTAAGCATAGCAATTTACGATTTTGGCCAAACAACTGTAAATGATATTAATAAAAATGCCAATAAAATCGAAAGCCATATCTCCAAACTGCAAAATTCTGATGGCAACATGACAATTAGGAAAACTATGAAAAATTCATCACTCGAACAACTAGACTATCAGTGGTTCATACAAACTCAAGGAGTGCCCCTTTCAGGATCTATCATTCAAGTGAAGCTTGAAGCAGAATCCATGCTTTCCAAGTGCTTTGAGTGTTTTAAACAACAAACTGAAGCTGATGCGACTCAGCTATTACTGCTTCGAAGAATTAGAGATATGGTAGCCAAAAAAGCACGTAATATGTTAAAACAAAAAAAATTAACCGATTTTTTAAATATTAATTCTTAAGTATATATGTAATTGTAAATAATAAAACTTGTTAATAAATTAAATAATAATAATAATGTACCAATAAGTAATAGTACCTAATTATATCAATATGTATGTCATAATTACTAAAAAAAAATAATAAATAATATGTATGTATGTTTAAATTTTTGTTGCTCGATTAACCGTCTTTTTGATTATCTGTCAAAGCTCTGGTCCCAAAACTGGGTTCTACTGTACATCATATAAGACCAACAGAGCTAACCAATACATTTTGCTCGCCCTTAGATATACCCCTAATAAATGTAGGAATGCCATTAAATGACATTCCTTTTTTTTCATAATAAAAATTTTTTATTATGAAAATAATAGGTTATATATTTTTTGGGTATAATGTATGCCGCAGGGGTGTCCAACCTTTTGTAAAGACTGGGCCACATTCATTTTAATAATAATATTTTATTTATAATTACAAGAAAAAATATATTTATTTATGATTAAAAGAAAACAATTTTTAAATAATTGTATTGTTATTTTAGTTAAATTAGTTTCTTTATCGCTGTCGGATCCCAATAAAGATAAAACTTTCATTTAATAGTATATATTATATACAATATACTATTAATATTTAAATTTTTAATGTTTTGTAATTTAATATTCTTAAAATAAATTTTTTTTCTCATTATATTATAAATAATTAATTGGTGAATTGAAATTGAATTGAGAGCCACATTAAAATCTTCTGTGGGCCACATGCATGATAGGGTTGGACACCTCTGATGTATGGTATAAATAAGCAGTGTCAAAAGAGTAAAGATGTAACATCTTAAGTCAAAATACATTAGCGCTTCGAAGATTTATTTAATAGAGTATTTAAGTAGGTACATAAATAAATAAAAATAATTGGCTAGACTGAAAATTAAATTATTGGATTAAATATTCTCTAAACCATATTTATTTCAGAAAAAAAAAAAACTAGTTTAGTAAAATTTACTTTGGTAAGTACAAAAAAAAATTATATAGATGTATAATAATATTGTATATCTATATTTATTATAACCAGTGCTCAATCTGGAAAAATTAAAGTAAAGGAGTTCTTTCCCCTGTGTATCTCCCATACACAATTCAAGCAATGGTTATAATATTATAATAGATAATAATTAATTATAATACTTCTGTAATTTTGACAAGCAATGACCATGACAGTTCAAAAGCAAATGAAATCCTATACTTGTGATTTAGTTTCATTTGTGTGTTTATAAATTAAGACAAACATTGGAAAAAATCCACAATTACCAATCAATTAAACATTATTCCTTATCAAAACTATTTATTATAATTTTTTAATTATAAACAATTTAGAAATTCATGAAATGTACATCTAACAGTACAAAAATTAGAATTATTTTATATTAGAGATAAGTAATTCAGATAGGTACAATAATAATAAAAAAATGTTGATAAATCATAATAGAACTAATATGAAAATATTAATATTTAATATAAAAATAAAAGGCTTTATTAAGTACGAGGCCTTAGGCGGGTTCGCCTCCCCCCCTGAAGACCAACCACTGTTAATGTAAAATATGTGGTCGACTTTGTAACTTATAGTGACATAAAAATGGCATATGTAATAATAAATAAATAATAATATAATAGTATGTACATAACATTACATTTTATTTACAATTAAATAACTGTATGGAAAGTCTATTGCAAGTTTTTATGTTTATTAAAGTACTTAGTAAGATGTTTTATTTTATTTTTAATATTTTCAATTTTTAATTTAAAATGCTCAAATCTAATTGGGCACAGTACACAATGCTTGACTTCTTACTTTGCCTGTAACATATATATATATATATATATATATATATATATGGCTGCACATGAATTGTGTCCCTAAAAATGTAAATATTATAATATAAACCCAGTTGCGTCCACTGTTTTTCAGTGACTGTTCCAAGTTGTGTCAGCAAGAATAATTGTTATTCTATTTCTACATGTTTGATGATAAACTTGTTAATATTAATATTAATTATCAATACCTTATTATAGGTTGGTAAATGTCACCTTACAATTTATTTTTTGAAATTAATTTTATTCATGTCAAAAATGTTCAAACTGATATTTGTATTAAAATGCAAAGCTCAAATTTAACCACAAAGGAAGAGAGGGTATTCAAAACAAAGATTTTATTAAAAATACCAGTCAGAGTCGCGGTTGGACGCAACTCTGACAAAATGTAATTTATGGATGGAATTCAAATGCGCTGATATATATATATATAGTGTATCATAGGTGTCAAACACAGATTTTTTTGCCTGTTAATATTTAGTTTTTTTTTCAATCAGTTTGTCTTTGAGTAGATTATAAATTTGGAAAAAAGTTGCATAAAAAAAAATAACTACACTAACTTTTAATAACTAGACAATTTTTAAAATAGTCATTTTGTAAAAGAAATATTATTATAAACATTTTAATGTACTATACATTCACATTGGATTAATAGTTTCTTAATTATAGCTGGTTTTCTAAAAAATAGGCTTGAAAAAAATAAATAATCAATAGAAGGTAAAGAATTACGATGTTGATTGTAATTCCTTATTGTATAGCATGTTATTTTATTGAATGTTAATTGTTTTCACACCTAATTAATTATAACTAAGAAATTATTCATTGGATATGAATGTGTGATACATTAAAATTGTTTAATAATGAAATTATTATTATTAAAATAATTATTACATTAAAATTGTAATAATATATTTTTACAAAATTACTATTCTGAACATTTTCTAAAGTGAATAATTAAAGTTATTATTTTTTTTTGTCTCTAAAGGGTGAGAATAAAAATTTAATTTTTCTCTTGACTCTCTCAAAGACATACATATTGAAAAAAAAAAAATCTAAACAAATTTAATATTAACAGCACCAGAAAAATCCAGAAAACATAGAGTGGGACAACTGTATATATATATATATATATATGAATTTATAAAATTAGTCTATTTAAATATATAATACATGTGATGTAGATCATGAAGATTAAGTTCAAGAAAATATAGAAAACAAACTAAGTTTAGTAAATCATCATTATCACAATATAGATACATTTCTTGAATTTAATAGCCACTTAATAAAAAGAGTAATTACACTAAGTAGAACATATAATTATATTATAGAAATCAAATGAATATTAGTCAAAAACATAATAATAATATTAGGTAAAAGATATACCTAGTCATTATTATGTTTTTGATTAATGTTCAAGTTAATTTACTACCAAAAGTATAACAAATAATAACTCATTAAGTATAATGAATTAGCACATACTTGTAAAAATGTAACACAAGCTGATACAAATGGTTCACTCTGTTCATGTATTTTATCAGCTAACCATTTATCTAATTTTAAGTAGTCTCTTCGAGATGCTAAACATGCTAAATCTATAATGAATGGAAATTGTTGTACACTTAATAAAAGTGACAGAGCCTAAAATAATAAAATAGTTATTAAATCAAGTAATTTCAAAAGACAAATAATTTCACCTACTTTTAAATTTTGAGCTATATCCAAAATCCGGGAAAGTTTTATGTGATCATAATCACTACGCATATACCAATCACTCATTGCTTGTACCAAAGTATGTTTAAGTCCAACATTCTAAAATAAAATAAAACATAATTAATTTGACCATCAGTAAATAGATACCTCTTCACACCAGTGACGAAACCAGGTCTTTTTGAACAGGGGGGGGGTGTCATATTTCTACATAAAATAAAAAAATAAATTTAATATAATTATGGTAAATGGATACTTTAATAATACATTAAAAAAATATAGAATCATTTATTCAATTAACATGTATAAGAAAAATAATATAGTGATGGCGACTAGTTTTAATAAATTTATATTACATAAGCACAGATGGAAAGGGGTATCCAGACATCCAAAAATATTCCTCTAGTTACACCAACATTAGATAGATCCCAATTTTAGACAAATAATCTTTGGCAAGTATTTTTAATATACTTATAATACACACATCAAAAGAATAAATGGCAAAATAAAACCCGATTGCAGAGATAAAATAGTAATCAACAAGAAAAAGGGGAATCAATACTAAAGGACTCCGTCTCAGACATAGAACTACAAACTGCCATTAACCTTCTACTGGTCATATGTAAATAATTTCCAGGCTTAAATATAGACATTAGTACAACTTTCTCAAAATAATGTACCTAATATTTTATATATCTGTTGATAACATGTTTATCTAAATTTATGAGCCAATTAAAAAGCAAAACATTTTTCTGTATAATTATAATATTGGTATTTATATATTTTGTATCTAAAATAAATTAAATCTAAAAACACAATTTTGTATACAAAATAGCTAAATGTACTGAAGATAATATAAAATGTAACTATTAAAAAAAATAATAATTTTTGAAAAATGTTTACCCTATGCAACCAAATATGAAAAATAAACTGCTCCACCTATTAAATCTGGTTTCCAATCAAAAACATTAAAACTGACCATGTGGTTTTATATAAAATCTATATGGGTATTATTTATGTAGTAAAATATGATATTAAAAAAGAAAATATATATTATTTATCAATGAATTTAAAATAACATGACACAAGAGAAATTAAATATTGGTTATTTACCAAAATAAATGTATTAATAGTAGTTTAACAAATGTGAGTATACATATACAGTAAGAACTATATATTTAATATATAAATTAATATCTGAAAAAAAACTAACACCATTGAAGTGTAATTTAGACAAGTTTAAACACATTATATAATGAATATGTAATACCTGATGGTTCCATGCATGTTGCAATATGGTGGCAGCATTACTGTGGTTTCCTAAAAATATAGGTATTATACTACTAATGATTTCATGTCTAATCATATTTAATGGTCCATTGGACTCCATCAAAGAGAGTGCTAATATATCTGGACATTTTTGCATTGGAAACTTCAGACATTCTTGAACTTCATAATAAAGTCCACATTCAGCCAAATAAAGCAATAATTCAACAAGTTCAATTGAACGCCTTAAAACAAAATTAAACCAAGTAAAATTACTATACAATTTGTTTTTCTATGAAAAATGTTAGTATTATCATTTATCACTATACGCTAAAAAATAAAACCCTAAACTATCAGTATATCTACAAAAAAATATCATAATATTTCCAACCACTGCTTTATCTAAACTATATACCTAATATATAAATTACTTTACCAATTATTTATGTCCTTGTCATCTGATTCTGGCATAACTTTTAATGAATCTATTGATACTGATCGATAAGGATAATCAGCAAAACAAAATACATCAGAGTTTTGTAAAATATGTTGAATCAGAGACATCTAAAATAAAAACCACTGTAAACACATATTTTTAATTTAAAATAAAAATATTAACTTGGGCTTCAGAATTTGTCCACTGGCGATAAAACATCTCTATAGGAAAGTTCTCAATATGATACCCTTCAGCATTTAAACCAAGTCTTAATGCCAAAAATAGAAGGACTAAACCTTGTCTATCCTTAACATAAAAGTCTCCATGGTCAAGTTCTTTTATCAAATCTATCCAAGATAAAGATGGGTTCTAAAACAAAACAATTATTAGTATAAAATGTTTAAAAATGTACAACCTTCAGTGAAGTAAGTATCTTACCAGTTCTTTAATTGTGTTTACAAACACTTCAATATTCCAGGTAGTGGAATTTGAAGGTACTGTATCCATATCATGATCTCCATTGTCTGGCCAATATGGTATTTGGGAATCTAAACCCGTATGAGTACGTATCATCATAGATATTACTTTAGCGACAGACTCCGGACCAAAAGTTATTGAAGACACGCAACCATTGGTAACTGATAACATATTTCGGCGGCATTCATCTATTGAAGAACAGACAGTGTATCCCATTTCCAGAATTAAATCAGGTAATGATGGATTATCCTGCAAATACAAATCAATATCAATAGTAAAAAATAAAAATAATTGAACTATATATAATTAAAAATAATAATTACCATTATATTGGCAATGGTATTTGATGTATCCAAATTTATTTTTTCCATTGGTTGTTCTGGTTTTTCTAAATATATTAATGGGACCAACAAGATTGGTACTACCTCTATTGGAAAGTCACGACGTAGATTAAGCAATAAAACTTTTTTAACTTCCTTACTTATTCCTAACGAAAAACAAAAATTAACTTTTTCATTTAAATAATATGAAAAAATACAAAATAATTTATTGTTTAATTAACAAGATAAGTATAAATTATTGTTACAACAGATTAATTTATTATAGGAGTTAAAGATTTTAATTACTTTAAATAAAAAATTTGTTGTTGTAACTAATTTATTATTATCAAACAAAATTATTTATGAAGAGTATTGAATCAACTAAAATATTAAATGAGAAATTATTGAGATAAACAGCATGCTCTATTATATATAAGGATTTTAGAATACAATATTTATCTTACATAAAATAAAACAAATGTATTTAAAAAAGTTTCTGATTTTCTTAAGGCCCTTAAATATATATTTAAAGTCATTTTTAAGAAATTATTTGGTTTTGTGATTAAAATTGTTTAAGCCCAGTTAGTTACTAGCCCTAGTTACTACACAAAGTTTTCATGAGTTGCAATTAGTGGTATATAAAAAGGTCTAATAAAATAGTTTTTTTTTTTTTTTTATGCATAATTATTTAAAATTATAATTTTAATAAAAATGCAAAACACTTCTTAATTTCACTCCGAACAAATTGTGGAGATAAACTAAAGGGTGATGGGCTGCTTTTGATCCTCCCTGCATATTATTTTAATAACAAACTGCTAGCAAAAGCAACTCACTATCCTGACTAATACCATTAATCAGAACTATTCAGAAATTTTCCTACTGACATTTTTGAATGATTCAAATTGTGGTTTTACTATTAAATTTGTTGATAATAATTACATAATAATAATTTACATAAAATATGATTGATTGATTGTTAACTACTGGAAAAATAGTTAAAATATTGATAATCTAAATTATCCTTATAGGCCACTACTACCAGTTAATATAAAATAAATCCGACATTGATAACATAATACTTAAAATAAACCTAGTGATCATTATAATGTTAAAACTAAATATGAAGAAATTATATTATATGTAGTAGTTTTATAACTTTCATGCATTATTTTAAATTTTTTAAACAACATAAATGTATTTTGAAATGTCCATCTAAATTTTAAAATATATAGATTTTAAATGCATATAATTACACACCAAATAATTGTTCATCGACATTAAATACGTGACTCAATATGAGATGAAGAACTTCAGGATTTGAATCGTGTAGTCCTCCGTTAGATACTTGATTAGTATTAATATCTAAATTTTAAAACAAAAAATATTGATTATAATCATTAATGTTTACATTGATTAATTTGTTTCTACCTGAATTAATATAAGTTTTAATAAGAAGTGGTAATTTCTGGCGAACAAATTGTAAAGCACAAGTAGAATAGTTGGTTGATTCTAAACAAACAAGTCCAAATACAACTTCTTGGACAGGACTTAAATGTAATATTCTGCTCAGTTGAACAAACAGTTGTATTGATGGTTTTTGAGTCTGCAATAGAACATAATAATATATAAAATAAAAAATGTATTATAGGTTAATACTCAAAAATATAACAATGGAATATAATATTTTGTTTATTTCTCTATGTTACTTCACATACCCTGTTCAAAAAGCTGTAAGGCATTTATCAAATAAATATCAACTATAATAGAGGTTAGGCGTATACAAGTGTCCAATATTGTGTTCTTTGGACTTCAATAAATCTGATATTTCATTTTTACATTTTTCTTATCAGGTTTTTTTGTCAAAGGGATCCATATTATATAGAGAAAAATAGGATTTTTATTTTCACTCTCAAATCAATAAAGGAAAAAAAAACTAGCCAACAAAATGGCCATTATGTAAGATATTATACAGGAAATCTGAATGTACCATATACTCATATCCAAATCAATAATTTTATAGTAATGTACATTTAAGTTTCAAAATATTTAATACAAAAAATGTATTGTAATAAGTACAGAATAAAATAAAAACCTACTTATTGTAAACATTTTCTGACAGTTTTATTACTGTTATTATGATTATGAATCCCTGTTATGTAATGTGCTAGTTTATTGTATATAATTTATTCATACCACTTCTGTATAAATAAAATAGGCTATTACTAAGAAACTATTCATTAGGTTTGTATAAATGTTAGATTACAATTTTTAGAATAATGTTTATTAAAAATAGACTATTTTGAAAATTGAACAAATTAAGTTATGTTTTTCTAATGATAATACAAATTTGATTTAATTCTAAATGTATGGCTCCCTAAAAGAAAATTCCATTGAAAAGAAAAAGGAATATTTACAGATATTAAAATCCGTGGGACACCTTTATGTATATAAGTAACTAAAGAAATTCTTAGCCAAGATTATTATCATTAATAGCATAATGAAATAGATAAGTATGATCACATTTTATGATACATCCTGCTTAAATTAGTATCCCGTAAACCAACTATTGTAGTTTTCCACTTCTTATTAGATACCGTTAGTACAGCCTATAGTTGAAGAGAACTAAGACCTAGGCTGGAAGAGCATACTGAATAAAAACATGATACACTGTGATCACACCTACTTATTTGGTCATAATTAAACAACAAAAGTAAAAAAATATTGACTATCTATGTAATTTTATCTCTTTAATTAAAACCACAGTTATCTACACAGGTTGGAGCACACCAGTGCATACCAGTGAGTTATACCAGTGCATTTACTCTGTCCAAGTAGTGTTTGTGTGAACAATGATCACTAGCAGAAAATGACCTGATATTAAAATATAAACTATAATAAGAAAATGATCATTGACTGCAAACACCTATTTGACAGCAATAACACTCTGTATGCCAACCTGTGTAAGTAATATTAATTATGTATTTCACATTTTAAGATTATATTTAGTTGCATAATTAATGTAAAATTCTGTCACAGCAGTATGAGGAGTTTTAAACAAGATTTTGGTGAACTATCTCACCCTAAATTTGTGTGGAAAAACATATGAGAGGAAGTACCATAGTGAACGTTTTCAGATAATATAGCTTTGATGATAAGAGAAAATCTGGAAGAAGTTCACAATAAGCTGGAGGAATGGAACCTAGTACTCGAAAGAAAGGAGATAAGAATAAGTAGAAGTAATGTGTAGTCTACATAAGCATGTTTAAACTATATTGTGAATTTGTAAGACAGAAACAACAAATGCATGTATACCGTCCTCTTAAGTGTGGTTGAATAAAGTAGAGATAAGCATCAGATGTTTTATGTAACAAAAGAATTCTAATGAGACTCAATTATAGATTCGTCAAAAGTGTGGCAAGACCAACTATGTTGTATGATTTGGAATGTTGGGCATTAAACAAAAAAATATAACAAACAATGAGTGTAGCAGAAGATAAGAATGCTTAAATGGATGCAGTGGCGGCTTGACATATTTTTACCTTGAAATACCAACACAAATTATTTACTCATCCACCCACTCCAACCCAAAAATACCCCACCATACTAAAAATGTTTTACGTGACTTCAATAGTCAACAAACCGAGAGAAAATAGACTGAAATAAGCATGTCATGAGGAGAAAGTAATCTGAAGTAGTAAGTATTGTAATGTAAAAAAAAAGTAGAAAGAGGTGGAGAGAAGGTCCGGAAAGGAAGTGATTCAGTGGTTGATGTGATTGAGAATAGTATGAGAACAACTTATGTATGCAAGATGGAAGATTAGGTCAAGCGGAAGTTTAGGATGAGGGTGCCTGACCCAAAACAGTTGAAATCTAAGCAAAGGAAAAGAAGAAAATAAGTTGTAAGGACACTTCAAACTATTTTTTTTTTCAAATCTTCTTATTTACTTATATTGCTACCAAACAAAATATTTATTTCAAAAATACATATTAACCTTGTGTGAATGCAGTGGATTATCAAGAGCGAAACACAATATTGAAGTGAGTGCTGGTTTATTTAAGAGAGTTGCACACTGTTGAACTAACAGTTGGACTTGATAGTAATCTTTATGGGATGTATTTCGAGGTCCCTCCGAGTCTCTGAAGTCTATATAAGACAGCAAACACCTTAGTAGGTGCCGATCAGCTTCAAATCCTTGTAATTGAATAGCCTAAAAATAATAATCAAAATTAATATATTATATATTTAACATGACACAGTACCTAATATTAGATACTAGTCTTGTAAAAAATATGTTGTATTCCGAAAACAAATTCAAATAATTAAAAATGGATATACAAATTTTCCAAAAAATACTTAAATACTTAAGAATATATATATATATTTTTTAATTGGTTTTGTTACCATTGCTATTTTTTTTTTAGATAAAACAAAATAAATTATACATTTTTAATCAATAGTCAATTAATTTAATGTTTAATAACACTTTTTCCGTACTTAGGTTGTAATAGTATTATAAACAGTTAAATGACGGTAAATCTTCTATTCAATCCTATTGATAGTTTTGATGAAAAATAAATCTTTTGCTCCTTATAATAAAACTAACGTATCGTAGGTAACCTAATAAAAGTGAATAATTTACTTTGTCTTTATTCATGAATAAGATTTTGTCACATTTTTAGTTATTTAACAGTGGGTACTTAAATAATAACAATTGTCACTGAGCAAGTTTTATTAATATTTTACTGTAACAGATGGTACGACATTCCAAACATAATAAACGGCGATCACTTATCGTTTCCATTAAATGGCGGCTAATAACCCAGGGCGCGCACGATCCCAGTTAACTAGTTTACATAAGACTTACATCAAATATTTCTTGAACGCTGGCTTTAAAATTTTTCTTCGACAAATTGCTGACGAGATAACTTATTTGGGCCAACGTATATGACAACGAATCCAGGTTCATAGTTCCATGAATGCCGATCCGAAAGCTTCAATGTTTTGAAGCTTTCCGTCTAGACGGATCGTGTAACTAAATAAACTTTTGCTGCTCAGAGCACGGCAGATAGACGCGGATGACAACACCACAAAATTAAATAGCTGTCTTTGACAATTTCGGTTAGTTTATTACGGAATTTCGACATACTGCAAAACAACGCGGATTTAACGTACGGCGACCGGCCGGACACAAAAGCGCCATAACGGAGGACGCAGTTTACAGTCTACACACAGATTTGAAAATAATTCATATACATAGGTATAAAACGTTATAGCTATCGCTTTATACACACTCACTGTGTAATAAGGTGCAGCTATGCGTTAGTGTATAGGTGCGATCGATAATGCTCGCTTTTGACATACATGCGCATTAGAGTCCTGCGACTCCATTTAAAAAACGTTCATTGGCGATTGGCCAATGTTTAGAGAGCGCGTCCTGTGGTCTACAACTAAAGGTACGTTTAACCACAATTCAGTGGTACACTGGCATTAGACGAAACGTTGAACCACATATACCATAAATTTCAATGTTGTTTACAACTGTGATTAATTTGTGATACTATTCGGCTAATGTGCTAAAATGTGCTTACCGTTCGTCGACTCGTTTTTATTTTTGTAAATTTGTTTTAATCGATTAAATCCTTTTAAATTCCTAATATGACAGATGTCTGTGCATAAGTGTTTGCCGTACGTATAGACTGTGTTTATGATTTAGCTTCACTTTTTCTTAGTGATTGAGCGTCTACGATTTATTTTTTTCATGTCTACTGAGGTATGTTTTCGAAGTATAAAATTTCAAATGTTTTATCCATTAATAATCTTTTCTTATGGTTTTTTTAGAAAGAGAAAATTGATAGTAGAGCGGTTTCAAGCACCACCACAACCTCTGTTATGGACGATAAAAGTGGAACACCAAACATCAGTAAACCGGCTGTAGACATTCCAGGTGGGTTTCTAGACACTAATTTTTAAAACACAGACATGTTTCCACATGAATTTATAATTTCTTTTTTATTATTAACCACCAAAAGTAGATGCTTTTATAATGAGTAATTTAAAGTTATGCGAAACTTTAATTTTAAAAATGATTAGATTTTAATGTTTTTCTTTTGTGTTAACAACTTTTCTATAAAAATATTTTCTCCAATTGAAAAATCGTTTTCTAAATATGGTAAAATTTTCAAAACATTTTGGGGATTTTTATACTACTTATATGGGTATAATTGTTTAACCAAACAGAAATGCTTGAAAATTTAATAATTGTACTTGGTGGTAAAAAAAAGAAGAAGTGTAATATAGTAAATTGTTTTTCTATAGTGTTTTTAAGATCAAATTTTTTATGAAAATCGTAAATATTATCACCTTTTAAATCATGAATGATTTATTGTTATTTACAGATATAAATTCAATAACTTAATGCATTATACCCTTTTAACTTCCCACCGGGACGGGGCGGATCATGGAGTTTTAACCCTCCCCATTGGCGTGTTTTTTTTTTTTTGCAATCAATGCATTTTAAATTTGTAAGGATGTGAAAATTCATCCTTACTTAGCTACCTAACCTTACAGCTCTTTTGTCTTTCTTTTGTTTGGTATATAATCATTAGAATCAGCACTTCCTAATTTTTCAATTCTATCTATAATAATATGTAGTTATCCAATGGTTTATTGAAAATAGACCACTTGCCTACTAATTAAATAGGTATTTACCCACATTCTAAATAATATCAATTTATGAAAGTTGAAAGTACAGTTAAATCCGTTTATTACAATGCTGTATACCCGTATTCTAGGTAAAACAATTCCTTGTAATATAATATATATATATGGTTATTTTTATATCTTATGTGCAGTCAATTTAGTCGTTTATAACAATGTTGTGTACAGCGTTATTGTGTGCATTGTTGTGTACATGTTATTTTGAAATGAAAATTGGTTTTTACATTCGCCTATTACAACATTATTATACATAAATAATATGTATTTATAAACAACAAATTGGATTTTATTTTCAGATTTTCGCAATAATTCATACTTTATCTGTAACAGATACATGGTATAGCTTGGTTGTATGTATGTTGTATAGGTACCATTGATCAGGTGCATACTTTATTTTGGTAAATAGTGATATCATTACACCAAAAATATGAATAACATTAAAAAAATTGTTGAGAATTTAATTTAAAAAAAAAAAAAACATTTTTCCAATTACAAACAAAGAACTATGACAGATTATTTTTGAAAATACAGTTATAGGTTAATAAAAAATGCTGTTATAATAATTATGAAATTAAACACTACTGTTATATTATTTATACTTTATATAAAACATTTGTTTAATAAATAAATTCTTTTTAAATATTAAGTTTTTTTTTTTAATCAAAATATAATAAAGTTTGGATGTAATGATCTGAATCTCTTAAGTCCCTTGAAGATCAATATAAGTGAATTTCACTGTAGGTATTTATCATAATTATAAACCTACTATATTAGTTACATAAGTTTGTTACATGTAACAGTTTAATGTATATTAAATTCTTTAAAAAAGGTACATTTTTTTTTTTACCAATTCATTACTGCTTATAACCATTAATTCAGGTGATTTAGTATGAATAATTTTTGCTTTTTATATACTCAAAAACAATGTCATTCATCATAAAAACTTAAAATAATGTAATTATTTAAATCAAGCTTTATTAAAATCACAAAATGTTCACATGTTAATTCTCTTTATTTTTTAAAATATATGATTATATCATATCAATATTTTAAATATATTGGCATTAACTGTAGATTGTGACTCAAAATATTAATTAAATCATTTATTACAAATATTTCTCTTATGGATTTTAATAGCGGTGGTCAGTACATCAAACCAAGAAATATGCATTGCAGAAGGATGCAATAATATTCCTATAACACATCCAGAATGGGACCATGAATATTGCAGTATTAAATGTTGCTATAATCATTGCCGGTATGTATTTATAATTGTTTAAATAACAACAAATTATTTTAATTAAAATGTTTTATTTTACAGAAGTACTTTTCAAGCATGGCTTGCATCTAACAAATTATCAAAAACGAAACTTAATGCAGCATCTACAGCTAATTTACCTACTCCATTAAAAGGTGCAAAAATGAAAAATGCATGAATATATTTTTATTGACATTAATATTATTTTAAACTTTCAACTATCTAAATAGTCAGTGAAATATTATATATTAAAGTTATATAATTTTATTTCAAATTATTTGTAATGTATATTAAAAATAATAATTATATTACATACTGTATGATATATCTTAAAACAAAAATCTAAAAAATAATTACTATTTATAAATCTTATTATAATACATTTTTAGGAATATTGTATTTTTATCTTTGAACAATTCAATTTAACTGTAATACAAAATAAACCTTATCCTTAAACTATATTACTATAGATAGTATCTAAGTTATAATTATATGAATGTAATTATTAATTACCTACTTGATACAGTAAATATACTGGGTATGAATATAATGATCAAATAGATTCATAAAAACTATATTGTGTATGTTTATAATAACTACAGTCAATAAAAAAACTACCTTAATTAAATTAATTTAAATATTCAATATTATAATCAAATTTAAACACATTAAATACAAAAATGTATAAAAATTGTGTTTAAAATTACTAACCAATATTAAGAAATGATTGTTCTCTTTTATATTGAATTAGAGCTGGTATTAAAATTTTATTTTTTAATTGTTTCATACCATTAATTATTGCTGCTTCAACCATTTTTGTCAACTCATTCTTATCTGTTTCTATTATGTTATCAGGAATTTTTATATCCAATACATGTTCATACATATTATCATCATACACAGACCGTAATGCTATAAAAGGAAATAATCTTTTATTTGTACCTTTATTTCCTGTTTTACCTTTCTTAAATTCAACTGATAGTATATATTTCAGATAGTTATTGTCAATGATAGAACTTTTATCAACCAACAAAATTCGGATAAAACTTGTAGTATCCTGGTTAGTGGAGTCACTTACTCGGTAATCTAATAAACAATTACCATTGGGAGATGAATTACAGAATTTCTGAAAAAGCATTTCAAATAAAAATTTTGCAGAGTCATCAAGCTTGCTTTCTTCATTAATCTTCTGTCCTCCATAACTAACAATGGCACTGATAGCTGCATTTTGAACTTTATTCACAAATGTTACTTAAAAAAAAAAAAATATTTACTTACTAATTCAAGTAATACATATAATAGATAATATATATCTACTAACATAGACCTATTAACTAATTAGCAATAATTACAGAGAGTGAAATGCCAATACAAAAAGTGTTTAAATAATAAAACTTTTGTTATGTGTGATTTAAATTTTGGTTGAATTAGCTCTTAGTTGTGATGATGCAATCTAATGACAATGTTTTTTTTTTTGTATTAATAAGTTTGATTATTTGCAACAGATATGCAAGTGATTGGAGTAATTCATTTAATAGCTAAAATTAAGTAGTACAAATCCATTTAATTTAGGATTTATATAAATCCTAAAATCCTAGATTTTTAGTCTAGTTCTATATTATGTGTAATATACACATAAACACACACACATATACATATGACATTGTGTAAACTTTGCTCCACTTGGGAATAAGATAATTTTTTATAAAATAAGGAAATTATGATACAGAAATTATTATTACAAAATATCATAATTTTAATCCTTTAGTATTTATATGATTTTGGATAATTAATAATACACACTCCCAGTGTGCCATCAACTATTATAATGATTGAGATCATAAAAAAAAATCAATAAAAATAATAACTACTACAAAAGAAAACAAGCAATTATATTTCTAACAAGAATTGTTTAGCAAGAAACATTTATTATAACCATTAAATAAAACAGAAAAGTTAAATAATCAGCTTCCATCCATTTATCATTATCTGAAAAAAAGCCAAAAACTGATTGCATTATAGAAAAAAGTATTTTAGAACCTTTGATGTTTATTAACAATGTTGGATATTATATAAACTTAATGTCAATAAATCATAATATAAAATATTGTTTAGTTTAAAAAAAAATATTTGTTTTAACATGATTTTCTTTATCCTTTTAAAAACATTTAAAAAAAGGCAAAGGATTCTTAAATCAATCTCAATTTACAAAATTTCTTTGTTAATAATAATAGATAATTAAAAAATATTGAATTTTTTTAAAAAAAATTGTAATTGTATAATTAAATACATTTTCACCTGGGAAAAAATAAATATTTAGCATCCCACCGAAATAATTTATGTCATTCAAATAATTAATTATTAACTATCTAAATTTTGGCGATGAAAACTCTTGGAGAATTATAAAAAAGAAGTTTAAAAGTATAAGCAGTTTTATTTTAAATGACTGATTGATTAATAGACATTCAATGTAAAACCTAAACTTAAAATTGTAACAGTGGGTACTTTTTATACTATAGACATCCCCTGACAAAGTCTTTTTCACCGTTTTTTACCTTAAGTAAAATAAGGGCGAAGGTTCATATGAAAATCCAACATTTTAATAAAATAAAATAAATTTATGGTATTTGGTCTTTTGGTTGGGGTAATGGAAAATTGATAAAACCCATTTTATTCTGATTTTTAAAAATTTGTAACACCCCTTGTAGATTGAAAACTGTTGCTAAGTTCAATTTTATGCTTATTATTATAAATTAAGAGGTGCATAAGTGAACAATGGATGATTATGAACAAATATATTACAGTGACAATTTTGAGAGGACGTAGAAGGTAAAGAGGGGAATTTTAAGACCAAAATGAGATATTCTAGGGAAAGTTAATGAGAAACTTCAGGCATACAGTAATTTAACTCAAGCATTTGGATTCTGGGAAGATCAAAATGCTTTGCAATGGGAAACTTCCATTAAAAGAACCAACAAAAAGAAGTCCGGATGAGACAGTTAGTCTAGTACAACAAAAAAAAAATAAAAAATATATTTTAGGTGTATAAGAAAACCTAAAATATATCCTGTTTGTCCTATAGTATTAGTTATTAGTTATTAGTTATTAGTACATAGTTCTGGTTGTTGATTGAGTTAACCATTAATAAGTAGATATTTCTAACATTGTTATTATTATACAATATAATAATAATGTGGCTTTACAATGGTTCTTATTTTAATCACAGCAAGATGAATAATCAGTAACGGGTCTCTGTAGTCTGTCAGCTACTGGTTAATTTAAACATGAATTCATACTAGCCAATATTCAAAAATAGGTACCAAAATATAAGTACTTTAAGTATTTGAATAAATTTTATAAAACATTGAAAACTGTAATTTCTTTTTTTTCCAAATTATTTTAAAAATCTCTTGAAAAATCAAAAAATGGCCTGTTTAATGCACCAACTAGACAAAATTTCCTTTCAAAAAAAGGAACTACACTCCATACATCAAAACAAGATTTCTTTTCGAAAAAAAAATATACATAAGAAAACCAATAGAACCCTCACTATGAGACTCTAAGATTATAAAAAAAAAGCTGTCCTAGGATGCATCCACTGTTATAGGAGGGAAATAGGAAAGGTAGGATATAGATGAGAATTTAATGTACATCTGTAAGCAACGATTAAACATTGTAAACCATAACCATAATGAAAAACAATTCTGGGCAGTAGAGTTCAGTTAATAATGTTGCGTTGTCAACAATATATATGTCAAATTATGGTAAAATAATTACATATGCACTAAACATTTTCTTTAATAATATTTGTTTAATAGTGTACCTATTTATCATTTAAATTCAATCAATTACCATGACCCAATAAAAGAAGCAAATTTACAATAAATAACAAAAGCTATATACGAACTAGTTATTATAAGTATAGGAGTATAACACATACAATACTAAATAGAATGTATATTATATGTGTATCTCTGTACATTTATTGTTATGCCATTTACCTAAATAAATAACAGTATTTTATTTAAAATAAATATATTATTTAAATCACACGCTAAGAAGTGTAAGTTTGTCTTAGTTCATGATTGAAACATAGTAAGAATACTCATTAAGTTAATTGGTGTAAAAGTAAAAATAAATGAAAGAAGATAAATTAATCACTATCTCAAACACGCAATTTTTCTGAAAGGAAATCGGTGTGGGGAGGTATTTTAAACAGGTCATTTTTCGATTTTCTCATCAAATTTAAAAATTTGGAAAAACTTAGGAAACTGGGAAAATCGGTACAATATTAAACAATATTATTAAAGAAATTATAGAAAGCCTATTTAATTTAATTTTACTATACAATGACATAAATATATTGTTGATAAGGCATTATTATCAACTGAACTCCATTAGAATCATTTTTTCGTAAGCAATGGTTTATCAATGCTTATCTAAATAAAATGTATTAGTTACATTTAAGTTTATATATACCAGCATTTTTAAAGGAAGGGGGATTTTTTGTGAAGTATTTAGTTCTATTGTTTATGTTTGATTAAATTATTATTAGTCTTAAAAGCAATTTTTACTTTTTTTGTATTGTTCAGAATTTTAACCAATATGTTAGACATATAATTTTAATATTTCATACTAAATTTCATGTTGAGAAATGGATGTAAATACATTTTTATGCAAAAGAAATCATTTTGTAACCTAGCTTAATATTAATTTTATAAATTTTTTCAATAAAATCATAAGTGTTTTTTAATAAAAATATTAGTATTCATATTTAATTTTTCTAGAGTCTAAATATTTAGCAAGGTTATAAGATGGAGCAATTTTATGAAAAGATGTGTGCGGAGTCTCTATTTTGTAATCAGATTTTAATAATATTTTATTTTGGACTTTGGACTTTAGATAAGATTTCTTTCGAATTTGTTATCAGTTTATTAATTTGTTTAGTATAAATTATAGTTAGATCATATGTTAAGTTTTAAATAATATTATTATTATTTATAAAACCTAAATTTTTTTTTATGCATTTCATTAGTGTAAATGATAACTCTATAAATTTCTAGAAGCTCAGTTACAAGTTGATTACATGCTAGTTAGTATGATAATATGATCATAAACTTGATAAACTAAGGATGCAGTCATGTTTAAATAACTTAAAGTACATATAAGCATATATATATATATATATATATATATATATATATATATAAGTACATATTACTCTCTTTGAAATATGCTATCTACGCATGTGCAAATAAACTTGTCATGAATCAAGGTATAAAAGTAAGCATAGAAAAATAACCAATTTGAATAATTAAAAAGTGTTGAATAACATGGTGAAATTTAGGGATTCTCTGTACAACATAAGACATGGACTTGACTTAAACAATATACAGAAACTTTAACTTTCAATTTTTTACTTTATTAAATTAAAAATATTTATCATTTTTAAAAATAATGAGCAGGTATTTCTATTTTAAATTTGATAAAAAAAAATCACCACTGTATTATTCACTATGTATTTCAAGAAAATAATATGTAGTCTAGTTACATAATTATATTAAAAATTGTTAGAATAAGTGATATAAAATATTAATTATGTATACTTAATACATTTAATAAATTTAACAAAGATAATCATAGATTATAAAAAAAATTCTTTATTATCTATGAACAAAACTTATATTTTAAATTTTATGTATTTATATATTATGTAAAATTAATTTAAATTTAAAAATACAATTTAATTTGTCTTTTTTTAACTGTAGCAATTTTTTTACCTCGATTACCACTTCTTATAGTTATTTTTCTTGGTGAAATTTAACACAATTTACAAAAATTCAATTCATATTGTAATTATAAATTGTTAAGGAAAATAATTATTAGGATTAATATGCAACAAGTACATCTGATTCAATTTAATTACCTATCAGTAAATTAATCCTTCCAAAGTTTATGATCTAGGGTTGTGCCATGGGTTTTATAACAACAGGATGTTTTACATATTATTATAAAATAATAGGTATTATAGTAAAATACCAACAGTTTTCAAAATATGATTAAAAGCATTAATAATTATTTTTATTATAATATTCACTCACCAAAATCTGTTGAATGTAACATTGTGAGTCCATTTGTTAATGAATCCATCGTCTTTATAAATAATGCCCCTTGTTTTGTTGTACTGCTTAATTTTGGATTTAAAATTCTTACTAAATAATTCTTGTTTTTTAAATTATCAACGTTGTTATTTTTATTGGAAGTGCCATTAAAAGCAAAAGTTGCAGTTACTGATACTAGATATGATTGACTGTCATCAATACAGCTACCAGTCAGCAATGGTAATGATTGCTGTATCTGTTCGTATATTAGCAATTTTACTATAGCACGTAAGCGTACTACAGATGAATTTTTATGGTTACGGTCTTCAAATTCATTCTTGTTAACAGTATCTAAATCCATAAATAATTCAACGTTGATATCAGTTGGATGCGGTTCTGACATAGATGATTTGGACAATTTAACTAACTGTTTATACTGAGTATGTGCTTGAATCAAGTGTGCAGGTGGATGTATCATTAAAGGTGATTTTAATGACATCTTGAGTTTGTAGAGCTGTACAAACAAATTAATTATTCGTTAAACAATGAACACATGAAAACATAATTGTAACTAGTACCTGAAAATTAGCATAGCAGTCATATAACTGGTCTGCTAATAGACAATATTGCAATGAAGCATTAGTTTCAGTATTTAATTTTTCCCATTTAGTTAAACACTGCAAGTGAAATGACTCATTTGCTACAAACTGTTGCCAATAAGTTTCTTGAAAAGTAATATCAGTTTGATGTTGAGAACGTTGATTATTACGTGACTGATTTGGTGTTGATTTTTTGTGTCCCATAACTACAGACAAATTGTCCATTCCCAGTAAAATAACTTCAGGAGCTCTATGTGGAAGGCCACATTGTGCAATTATTGACCACCGTACCATATAATTACGATTGACTGTTGTTGAAATTTCTTCGTCTAAATACGGTAATGAAAGCACAAACATATCATAGCGTGGAGATTGTGTAGACTTATTTGGACCAGTAGGCATTAAAAATGAATTTGAGCTTTGAAAATCTGATAAATGAACAAGTTGTTTTAATGGACCTGTAGAATAAATAAAATAAGAATTCAAAAATTATTAATCATGAAAAAATAACCTAATTGTTACATTTAAAACGATGATTGGCTAACTCACCAACTCTATGACGTGATAGACGGCTTACAGCTTGACGTAAACGGGGACAAAAATTGCTAATATTCTCATCCATCAATAATCGCAGCCTTTGATCTTCTAAACTGCTATCGTCATGACAAATTTCACGACGAATGGAATAATCCACAAGGACCATTTTTAAGTTAAGTAGGTACCTAAGTAACTGAGTAATTATATTTAATACCTACCGGACAAAAGTTTTTTTTAATACACTATGTAGAATAAATATGTTATGTATACTGAATTAAAGTAATCTTAATAAATATTTATCTATGTAATTACAAAAAAGACCATCGACGCCATAACATTAAATTAGTACACACAGTAGGTATATGTACATCATTTACCGAATATAAATAATATGGTATACTATGGTATACAATAGCTCCTGGAAATATCATGTATTCATGTTTTATATAAGCTAACCATCGGCCTAGTAAGTGATAAGAAAAAAAGATGGTGACGTGTACGTTAAGATCCCTATACTAAATATTGTTAAGGCGTAATCTTTACACCGTGGGTTGAATACTGTGTCATGGTCTATACCAGTGTTTCTCAATCGTGGGGGAGGGAAATTCTTCCCTATGGCGGAATTAGGATACTGTGTTGGAGATAATATAGAGATGATGAAATCGTAAGAATAAAATATAAAATGTGCAAATTTATTATATCTTATAGGTACTAAAAACAATTTATCTTATATATTTAATTAATAGGGGAGGCATCAAATTTTTGAAATCCTACAAAGGCCAAAGGGGCGTAGAATAAAGTTTGGAAACACTGTCAATATTATTTTCTAAATTATTTCAGAGGCAGGCTTGGATTAAGGCGTAATCAGTGTAGAATATATTATATCCTACGTTAACAAAATTAAAAGGGGTACCAATATAAAATAAATGGAATTTTTTTTTTCGTACGGAAATATAAATTCATAAATCGTAAAGGCGTCATTTATTTGGGCGAATCACCCAAAATTACTCGTAATATCATACATCATTTTAACCGATCGTTTGATTGAATTTATCTTTGTATGTTGTACGATTTAGATTAGTTGTAACTTGATAATAAGTATAAAACAACTTTAATTATATTGACTATATAATATTATATCGTTTCGGCTGATAAGTTAATGGTTTTTACGTTTGATTACATTTAATCTAATCAGATAATAAGTTATAACATTTACCTGTTTGAATGATTAATACAAAATTTTTAGTTGAATAAAACATGATGTACTTATAATTAAATACCTAAACTGGCGGGAAGATTATACTCGTGAGACTGGAACCAAATATTGAAATAATTTTTGGAAATCCAATATTTCAGACTTCAAACAATATATTATACAATAGCTCACCCAAATGATATATTAGACATAATAAAGAACCATGTAAATTTCGCTCATGTGATATGTATAAATTCGCCCAAACGGTATGTGATTTTAGGTTGATTCACCCAAATAAAAACTACCCATACATAGTGGCACATTGTATTTTTAATTTTGTACAATTTATTGACTTATATAGAGAATCTATATAAGTCTATATACTTCAAAGAAAATCAAAAAACGACTTTCCTGGTTACCAACTAGAATAAAAATGCAATAAAAAAGATCTCATGTCGTTTATTTATTGGAGCAATATTTAGGGTAGAAAACATAAACCGTAAAAATTTAAAATAATGAATTCGTTGTACCGTAATTTGAAAAAATTGCATAGTAAAATTCGTCTATTTTGGTTTTTCTTAATCATTTGTAACACTACATTTGATATTGAAAAATGCTATTTTCGTAGTTGTTTTAATATTTGAGCAAAGCTGAATATAAATGTTTAAAGAACGGGAAAATATACGAAAATAATTATTTTTAATTTTATTTTAAAATCTGAATGTAGTGACGAATGTATTAGTTTTATAAAGATGTTTATTATTATTTCTTTTTTAATTCTATGACAAAAATTTCTACCAGAAATCTTGTTCCAATATATACATGTGGCACCATTTCTGAAAGGTAATATTGTCTAGGTGGTACTTATGGTTTTATAAAGATGTTTATTTATTTTTTTTTATCTGCGCGCAATTTTTCTACCAGAAGACTTTCTCAGATTTTTACGTGTAGCACCTTTTCTGAAAGGAAATCGAAGTGAAATTAATAATATTACTATTGTATTTGAAATGAGTACCTATTAATTTTAGTTTGTATCTTTATTTTGAATTTTTTTATTGTATTTAGAATAGGTATATTATGCACATTACTTGCATGCACCAATACATACGATTTTCAATATACCTAATGTATCTTACAGGCTGTAATTTTCTATATATTATTAAAACATACATACCTACAAATATACTGAAACTGTAAAGAACAAAAATATATATATTAAAGCACCTTTACTACCTAACCTGACCAGCAAGTTTTACATTGTGTTGCTTCTACGCAGACTGTGCACCCCAACTTTATATGCATATTATTAAAAATTGATCTATATATATATATATATATATTTAGGCTAATTATTTAGGTTTTCACCTATTTTACATGATTTAGTTATTTTTATTGCATGTATTCCTATAATTTTAGTTTTAAATACGTGTTAAAGTATCAAGCCAATTCCTTTTTCTCTTCTACAATTAATGTTCGCCTTTGAAAATAAGTTCGACTTAATCTACATGATTTTATACGTCTAATTAACTTAAATTTTACTTAAAGTAATTTAAAAAATTGTTTTTTATATTAAATGGTGCAAATGGCCATCAATACATTAAATTTAAATGCACGGACTCTCATGATTCAATCATTGTCCTTAGATAATATGATGGTTGTTTATTTAGGCAATTTATTACCCTTCCCTACTCCTCCGGACTAAATATTATCTATTCAAATTAATATTCAAAAGAAGGGGGGGGGTTATTATCGGAAAATCAAAAGTATGCACTTATTTAAGGTATATGGAGTAGGGGTAAAAAATTAAAAATGATTTTAAAATAAAGCTTAAACGATTTCATAATGATCAGAAAAGAACAGAAATCAAATTCACTTAAAATCCTCTGAGATAATTGCTGTTTCATGATAAAAAAAATCACTCTGTATATTGTTGAAAAAGCATCATTATCATTTAAACTCTACTCAGAATCCTTTTTTTGTTACTTGTTAGCAATGGTTTATCGTTGCTTACAGATATACATTAAATCACCTATAACAGTAACTGCATCTGTCTCTATTATTCTAGGACATATTTTTTCCTCTTAAACCTATTTCAATAAAATGGTTACATTTAACTATTTCTAAAACTTCGACAAAAGTTCTTTAAAATCACCAATATATTGAATTATGTCGGTGATTTCTATTACAGAATTAAAAATTATGTACTTGTATTACTACAATATGTAAACATATAAGTTTTAATAAAGAAATTAAAAAAAAAAATATTAATAAATGAATTATTTTGGTTAAATTACTATTATTCTACTGCTATTATAGCGTCTATTTTCCCGTTAGCCTTATCATTAAGTGTCAACTAGAGCGTTACGAATAGAACCTTTCAATCGCGAATAATGTACTTTGTAAGTTCTTATTCATGATCTGTATGGCCAACTTTAGACCCAAACCTAACGCCTTCAAAAATTACTCCATTCATTGCATAAAAATACATAAAAAATTGATTAATCCACCTTAGTTGCAATATAATGATTCTGTGATAAGGAAATTTATGTGATAGTGTGATTGTGACAAAAAAAATGCTAATAAAAGGCGCTGTCACTAGACGCTCGTGTATGAAGGTAAACTAATTAAGTACAGTGTTTTTGCAGTGAATTTTTTATGTTATTATTGTTATCTGGTTTTTAAACCAAGTTAATCATGATCTAGTAGTTAGTAATTGATTCTAAATTGTAGACTTCACAACACGGCTGCAATGGGATGTTATTCAGTTATTGAGAATTGAAACAGTCGTCCGAACGGTATTTTACTTTGCACGTCATTCAATTTTCTTTGTTTGTGAATTACCATATTTATTCTTTATTCTATTGCAGTGCTGCGTGACGCTAAATTGCATTTATACCCATTACCTAGTTTGTAGTTATTGTAATTTGTCGCCCAGTCTTCTTCATTGTTATTTTAATGATTTATACATGATCGAATTATAGACGTGAATCAACGTGAGTACCTATTAATTTATTATTTTATCCATAAATTACTTACTTATCTACAGGTAGTTTATTAGTTGTAACCTAATTATGCAATTGAAATCACCTAATTAAATACAAAAATAATTTCTTATGTTTTTATATCAGTAGATAGGTGCCTAGGTACTGTTGTGGGTGACTGTTTAACACCAAGTTCCAGGTGAACTTATAACTAGTGGTGTATTCGATGCTTTAATGCTTTCAATTTAATGTTTCTGCTTCCGTTGTCACTAAAATAGCCTATAACCTTAATGCGTAATGTGAGTTCAACTTGAAGTTTTAATGTAAGCAATAGGTATTACATTACCTATAGGAAATGTTACCTAATTGTATAATATTAGGTACTTAATTATATTATGTATAATATTACCTAAAATTCTGAAATCTAAAAATTTGTATGATTAAGTACACTTTTAAGATTGTAGCAATTAACATATATTTGTATTTGTAAATCTAAAAAATTTAAAAGTGGGGCGGGTGGGGGGGGAGTGAAAATTGATCGCAATCACCTCTTTTATTTATAATTGGTGTATACTCAAGACTCTTTTTAAGACTACATTATTGTCTCTAACCGAAGTCAAAAATAAACAGACATAATTTTTATAAATACCTACCCATATTTTACTAAATTGTAAAAATATTCAAACACTTGGTCAATTTCATGAAAAAGCCTGGTATGAAAGTACTCAAGACTCAACTGAAAAGGAGTTGTTGGCAGCCAGTATTTATATTGTGTACTCATAGGTGTATTATGATGGTTTTCTGTTAGGGTGCCTTAATAGCCTTAACAAAATTGTTTTCAAGGATACATATCTACTTGTCGGTACTGTTATGGTGTTACCCCTCCCTTAAAAGCATAAGGTTATTATGAGGCATACACAGGAGAGGATTTTGGGAGTTTAATCACCTCAAGAACTTTTAGTTTATTAATTTTGTGTTTAATTATAATCAACATATTAGGTGCATAAAAATATTTTATAAAATAAAACACTAACATTTTCACTTGCATATTATGCACTTTATGTATGCCCTATAGGTACATATGAAGAGCTACGGGGAAAAACGATAATAGTAAAAAAAAAAAAAAATAGGATAATTATATCATCTTGTCATTTGTTTCTAAGTGAATTGGTATGTAAATCGATTTGGGGAATAAAGATCACGGTCAGTGATATAAAATAGGTTTAAATATACCTATGACAGCAAAACAAGATCATAGTTTGACTTCTGAAACTTTAAAACTGCAATACTGCACATTTTAGAAATATTGACTAATCGTTTTTTGAGTCATTTTTTCTTTTAGCATTTTATATAAAAATATGGATAAATGTATATTACAAATAATTCAAAGTTAATAAAAATAAATACTTAGATGTCGGTTTACATTTTTAAGAATAAATATATTTTAATGTTACAATAATTAAAACAGTAAGAACTAAAATTACAAATAAATAATAAAATTAATTTCAACTGTAGACTTTTTGGCAAAAATATTTTATATTAACATGATTAATATTTGATATGTTTCTTTCCATGCAAACTTATGATATATTTGTAAACCTCTCATTGGAACATTTAAACATTTTAAGTAAAGTACTACCAAGCAGAAATATATATTTATTGATATTGCATGAAAAAAATCAAACTATGATTTAAAATAGAAAAAAAAAACCAAATCTTTGTATTACTAAAACCTTTTTCAATATACTCAGAATGTAAAATAATTCATTTTGACTGTATAATAAAAAGCTTTACTTCGTATTGTTTAATAAAATGCTAAACTGTCATCATATTTTAACTTAATACATTTGATAAGTTTTAAACTTTCTGTTAAAAATCTAATTTTTAAACACAAAATAATATAAGTTTGAATTTTTTTATCAATTGTATAAAATAATAAGCCTTAGATAGTTAGATAATTATATTTTATACATTTCGCAAAAAAAAAAAAAGGGTAACAAGAAAACTTTTTCTTGGATGATTATTTTATAGGGGAAGCTGTAAGAAATGTTAAAAGGTTGGAAAAAATGTTGGTGGTTATGACTCCCTTAGCCCCTCATGCATCGAGTATGCCATACCTACCCCAAGCACTAGTATGCCTTCAGCAGTAAACAAATAATGAGAAAATAAATTAAGATGGTTTGGGAATGTCATTAGAAGAATGGAATTTGAAATAGTAAGAATGGTTATGATTTTATTATAATAATTTATTTTACATATTACCTATGATAATATCAGAGCACTATTTTGTAGTATGATAATAATTAATTATTAAAACTTGAAACTATTTAGCTTAAGTAAATATATTTATTTTATAATACTTATTGTAAATTGTAACTTTAAATTTAATTAAAATAAGGAAAAGTAGTTTTTTAGTAAAAAATGAAGACAATAGGTACACAAATAGAAAAGAAAATTGCTTTTTGGTAACAGGAATATAAAATGAGAAAAATAGTTAAGTTCACAACATAATATAAAAAAGGTTTTATTTTCTTCTCTTCAATAAGTCTAAATTCAATTGTACCATAGAAAATGATAATTCCTATAGTAGTAAGACATTTTTATATTAATGATTAGGCTTGCAAATATTGATAAATTATTTTTAAAGTATTTTTGTTTACTTCATTATTATTAATTATATTATATAATATTATAATACCAGTTATCTATTCTGTAATATGATAATTATTAATTTTTAGAGTTTGTTTTAGATTAAGTATATAACATTTCGATTTCTAGAAGGTAGGGTGTAGGTACACAATGACCATTAAATATATGTGATATATAATCTTGCACCATCAAGTGATTTTTTTTGTGTTTCTTTTGTTTGTCTTTTATGATTTCCTACTTAATCGGTTGATCTGATCAAGTCAGGCTCTAGCTTGTCCCTGCCCTGTCCAATCAACAGCTGTATCTATTAAAGATGTAGAGGCCAGACTGGTAACCTCCACACACATGCAGTTGCTAGGTAACACCTTCGGGAGCCTACTTGCTTATTCCTGACTACCAACAGCTAGGTATCCAACCCACCTGTTGTACTATTATTATTTCTGATTGTGACTTCTATAAAGAATTTTTTAAATGGTAGCTTTCCATTACATTTTATACCTACAGCCAGATGATTTTTGTTCAGGGTTTCTTCCCCTACGATGCTTGCCAGTCAAGGGTGGAGAGTTTGCCTTACCCTGATTTGTATGCTGATCACAGCATCTGTATTGACTTATATCATAGCTAATGGCAATATAAGGTAGTCCAAAAAGTTATTCTAGAATTATTTGCCTGAAACATTTCTCCAATTTGGTGATGGCTGTTGCCCCATTAATGCAAGACAAACTGTCCGGGTAATGTATTATACTAATAATACAAACATTTTTTTCCTTTCAATCTTTTGCACAAATTAAATAGCGCGGAATGTATAAATGCCCAAACAGATTTCCAAACCACTTGACCACTTGATCCCCAATCAAAATCCACAGTTACAGACATTTGGAGATAGTGCCCTTTGTGTTGCTGTTGCTGAATACTATGTGTATTAGTTAATATATATTTAAAACTAGGGATTATATAAATGCACAAGTATATTACCTCAATAAAATTGTCCTTGTGTCTGTTAAAATATATAGGTACTGAATAGTTGTAGAGCCATTTTTTTATTGACTCTGACTTTCTCAAAATTGGAATGAAATCTCTATGCCAACCATTGATCTCAAAGGATGCCATATTGCAATCTTATCATAAAACCTTTCATTTTCAGTCTCCTGGTAAAAATATTATTAACAACATGTACCACATCTCATTGTCCAAGATAAATGTTATTACAGTGGCACACTTAAACAATAAATTCCCTAAAAGAATTCTAAAAAGAAACTCAGAATAGTATTTTAAAAGTATTTAATGTATAAAATAGATTTTTACTATTTCAAATACATTTTAATGTACAATAAGAAAGATAAATTAAAATACTTATAAAAATGCAAAATGTTCAAAATGTTTGTAAGCACACTCATATCCAGCTGATACATTTGTAAATGTTTAAATTTTATAATTAAATATAAAATATGTGTTTACTTATAGTATAGTGCATACTTAATATTGTTATTAACTTATTAAAATAACAAAACTTAATTATTTTTAAAATAAACATTATGTAAATTAAAAAATATGTTAATTTTAAAATACTCATAGTAAATTGTAACATTACATTTAATTAAAATATTGGCAAATAGTTATTTGATAAAAAACCAAATGAAATTTACAAACAGAAAAGAAAATGGCTTTTAAGAAATAAAGAAATATAAATGGGAAAATGTAAATAGTCCACAATATATTGTTAAGTTTTTCTCCTTTCTATTTTCTTTTCACCCATAGGTCCAAGTTCAATCTTGAACTAGAACAGGATCATTCATATATAAGAAAGGAAATTAAATATGTTAATGATACATTTAGATATCAAATAAATGTTTTTTTCATAATTTAAATATAATTATTTAAGTAATATATTTTAATATAGGGATGAAATTATGTGGTTAAAAAGTAAGAGAATATACAAATTGAAAAAAGAAAAAAAATTATGGCTTTTTGGTAATGAGGAAATAAAAATGGGAAAATGACATAGTCCACAAAAAAGTGTTAAATTTTTCTCCTTTTTATTTTCTCTTCTCCCATAAGTCAAAGTTCAATATTATAATAGAACAGGATCAATCATAAAGAAGAAAGAAAATTCAATATGTAAATGATACATGTAAATATTATATTAACTGTTGTATTCATTATTCTAAGGAAATCATTTATTTTATGTATTGTAATTAAAGGGTATTCTATGATGAAGATCCAATTAAAATAATAAACTTTATATTATTTACTTTATGTAAATGTAATTGTGTTTTAATACATAATATAAATTTTAATATTGTATTCAATAAAAAAAACCTGAACGTAGATATTTGACATGAAAGAAAGATAATACACATACAGAAAAAAGAAACAAAAAATATGGCTTTTTGGTAATGAGGAAATAAAAATGGGAAAATGACAAAAGTCCACAGTAATGTGTTAAGTTTTCTCCTTTTTATTTTCTCTTCTCCCATAAGTCCCAAGTTCANGTATATAAATAGCCGTTTTAATTATTCTAAAGAAATCATTTATTTTATGTATTATAATAAAAGGGTATTCTATGATGAAGATCCAATTAAAATAATAAACTTTATATTATTTACTTTATGTAAATGTAATTATTTTTCAGGACTTGATATGAATTTTAATATTATATTCAATAAAAAAAACCTGAATATAGATATTTTGCACGAAAGAAAGATAATACACATACAGAAAAAGGAAGAAAAAATATAGCTTTTTGGTAATGAGGAAATAAAAATGGGAAAATGACAAAAGTCTACAATATAGTATTAAGTTTTTCTCCTTTTTATTTTCTCTTCTCCCATAAGTCCAAGTTCAATATTAAACTAGAACAGTATCTTATAGGGGTAAGGAAATGTAATATGTTGATGATACATGTAAATATTATTTTAATAGCTGTATTCATTATTCTAATGAAATCATTTATTTTATGTAGTATAATAAAAGGGTACTTATATGTTGAAGATCCTATTATTATAATAAACTTTATATTATCTTCTTTATGTAAATGTAATTATTTTTCAGG